AAAACCCTAATACATAAAAAAAAAAACTTGTAATAATAGTTAAGCATTTTAGGCGAATATAAACTAAAAGGTGGCATCCTCCCTAACCACCAGTTGACTCTGATTCTGAGAGGTGTGTGTGTAGTCTAGTTATTATTTGTTAGTGGGCCATTAGCACTTATTTTATGAACTTTTTCTGTATCTTGACATTGTGGATGGTTTTCCGTGTTAGGAGCATGTGTGTACACACATGTCCATATACATTTATAAACATACATACACACATTGAAATATAATCTCATCTCCTTTATTGCCAATCTCTGCCTCTCTCAGGTTCACACATACTCTTCCTTATTCTGCTTCGGCCTTTCCTCTTGCACATCTACAGATTCTCCTCCCTGCAGAAGCCAAAGCTATTCTTTTAAAATACCCAGTGAGGTTCCTGACCGTCACCAGTTCCACTCAGCCTCTCTGCTCACCCCCAGCCTTAGGGGCTCTGGCCGAGCTAACCCACCCCGCAGTGCTCTTTCCCACATACCATGGCTGGCTCTCTGCCTTTAGTCAAATCGTTGCTTAAATCTCTTTGCCACGTGTCCTGCTCTGCCCACCCTATTTAACAATGGCACTTTGATTCCGGTCTTCTCTCTTCCCCTCCACAGCACTTCCTTCTAACCTGCTGTAATTGATGGACTTTCCTATTGTCTCCACTGCTGATCACCTGTCCCCATTCTCTGCAAAGAGGGTTAGCTTTCTGCACGCGGCAACCTCTGCAGCCACACTAGCCCTGCCCTAAGAAGGGCCCCTTGCCTGATTTAATTCTCTGCTGTCACAATCTTGAATTCTTTGCTATTTTTGAACAAGGAGCCCTGCATTTTCAATTTACACTGGTAATGAAGTTTATTGATGACTTTCTGGAAGGTAAACTGTTGAAGGGCAAGAATCTTCACGTAAGCCTCGGAGGGCAAGGATCTTTGTGGTCATCTCTGGTGAATTCCAAGGTCCTGGAGCAATGCCTGCCGCATAGTTGGTGCTGAGCAGATCTAAAGTACTCTGCTTCTCTCAATAGCTGCATATTCCGCTGTTGACCACAATTTATTTAACTCTTCCCTTATGGACCTGCAGTGGTTATTACAAAAATATGCTTCAGTGAACACTTATAACTTGGTATTTTTGAATGGTGTGGTTTAAATACTTTGGAAGGGATAAACTGTGACTCCTGGTTTGTTTTTATTTCTGATGACACTTATATTTTTGAGGATTTGCATGCTTTCATTAGAAACAGCTGTTTTTAGCAAAGTACTTACAGGCTCTAGGACTCTTTCCCATCAAATGGGAGCTTGCAAGCACAGCTTAACTGCTAGACCAATGGTTCCTGGCCACGGGTGCTCACTGAGATCACCTGGGGAACTTTGGAAGCACTGATGACCTGGGCCCACTCCCAGATGTTGTAATGCAATTCTTCCGTCTGTAGCCTGGATTTACAAAAGG